CTTTTGTTAATGGCAAAGGGCAATGATAGCCCTCTGGCTACTTCCTCATGATTGGGGTCTTGAGAAGGGAGCTCTGTAATTCTGGTCCAAAGCAGGGGCTCAAGTTCACAGATGATGGTAGCAGACCTGATGAAATTCTGTCCAAAGCATCTGCTATACTGACTCTTCCAAAGGAACATGAAGAGCCAAGTATCATTGTTATTAGAATGATAGAGAGCCAAGTTGTCAGAGGAGAGGTAGAAGCCAGGGCCCCAGAGTGGACCACAGGAGGCCATAGATTGTAACCTAGATTGTGTAAGATTTTAAACCCCTTGAAAGACCCCGAATTTATAGAAATAAAATATAAGCTTAAACAGGGAGGGTACCCCACTAGAGAACTCAGAAAGTAAACAAAGGGCCACATCCCAGGAACTGGCCAAACCACAGAATGGAATGTATGGTTTAGCAACCTTAATTGCAGAAGGGCTGTAAACCCACAAAAGGCCAAATTCCGGGCTGCTGACCACCTGTGATGAACTGACCAGGGCATCAGAGATGGGCAAACAAGATTCGTGGGAAACGAGATGATAACCACCATTTACTTAGGGAGAGATGATTAACTCATACTGAGGTTTGAGGAATTTACAACGTGTAGGTCAGGAAGACATCTACTTCCCCTGGTCAGTAGTCACGTACCCCCCCCCCCGTCACAAGATAGGGACCCCTCCCAAAGCTTGTGGTTTTTGTCTTTAAAAGCTGATTGTAACTGAACCTCGGGGCCAATCAGTCTAAAAGCTGACCAAGAGGCCCATCTGCAGATGCCTAATTAAAGCCTCTTGCGTGTTGCATCAATTGGCGCGTGGACTCTTGATTCTTAGGGTGACGAATCCAGCTTGGGGACCCCTCCTCAATTCGGGATACCCCAACACTCTCTTCCACTTGACAAAACTGGTTCACATAGTAGCAACATTCTTCATTGAGGAAGAGGTAAATGCCTCCCTTTTCTGCTGTCAGCAAATTGAAAACTCTCTGGTTTGGCACACTTGCAGGGGTGAGGTTGATTCATGGATGGTGTCTGTAGGCTGAGTGGAAATCTGCTAGGATAGATATAAATTAGAACAGGAGGTAAACTTAAGGTGCTTAGGGGGATTCAATTCTTGGGTGTATACTTGCAACTTCAGGCCTGTCATGCTGCCTGGGGCGTTTCAGAGAACAAAAGTAGCTCCCAACAGTTTGTGGGAGGAAAGTGCCCAACCTCAGAGAAAGGCAGTAGAAGGAGAACTTAAGTTGTAGACACACAGGCATACTCATCAGTTACTTGTGGTGAAAGACCCCCACTGGGAATCTTCCCGGCAGGAGACCCTCGCCCAAAAATCGAGATAGAGCCACTGGATGCAACAGCAAGAGGGTTCTTTATTGCTCACACAGGCGCCTGCGGATACTGCAGCACTTCAGGAGGCTGAGCATACCGAGCTGGATTTAGTACAGCTTATATAGAAGAGGCTTTATTTGCATATGAAGTCCTGTGGACCTTGCAAGAGCAGCTCTCAATCAGGTCCGGCAGGCTTGATATGCAAAATGAGGTAGAAGGTGAGAGCACCTCTGATAGGGTACTCGTCTTGGTGATGTCACAGCCTTTGAATTTCACGCTCTTAGAAAGGGCGTGGTTTACGTGAGTGTGGCGGGGGTCTTTCATTCCCCCATTTCTTTTTATCCTTAAGTAAAATCCTTTACTTAACTGTTGTGAGGGTTCTCTGTCTCCTGTTGCTTTAGAACCTGATATTGATGAGTTAGGACTAAGGTCTGGATGACTGACAGCCTTTTCTTGATAAACTGAACCAGCCGGTTAAGGATACAGGGACCAAATGTCAGAATAATCACCAGTATAACTAAAGGTCCCATAAGAGTTAAAAGTAAGGTAACATACCAGGGTGATCTGTTATACCATCCTTCAAACCAGCCTTGTTGTGAACTAAATTCTCTTTTTCGCAGGGCCAGCCTCTCTCTTAACTTAGCCATTGTGTCTCTCACTACCCCTGTCTGGTCTGCATAAAAGCAACATTCTTCTTTAAGGGCCGCACATAATCCACCCTCCTTTAAAAAGAGTAAGTCTAATCCCCGTCTATTTTGTAAAACAACTTCAGATAAAGAGGTCAGGGATTTTTCGAGGGCAGTGATTGTCTTTTCAACCACTTTTAGGTCTGAATGCATGGCGTCATGCAAGGCTTGGAATCTCCCTGTCTGTATCATGGCATGAGTTCCAGTGCCTATCCCTGCCGCAATCCCCCCGACTCCCAGAAGGATCGCGAGGGTCATAGTTACTGGCTCCCTCCTCTGCCTCCTAGGGGTGTCTTCGAAGAATTCATAAACGGTCTGTGAACTATGATAGGTGATCCTGGGCCACAGCTGGATCAACACACAGAACTCTGAGGTTTGGCTCCACACTTGGGCCGATATACAGGGGGTGAGACCTGTGTTACAGGCCCAGTAAGTACCATTTGGGGCGGCCAGATTATAGCTCCCTGCTGACAGAGTTTGGACGGTCCGATTGCAGAGTGGCTGGTGCGACCTAGGAACCTGACCCAAACATGTCCCTTGCCCAGAAACGTCGGGTAAAGTTAGCTTGTGGTGAGGCAGTATCAAACACGAGTCCGGGGCTCTGGTATAATTAGAGAAATTTCCTGAAACAGCAATTCCCTCATAGTAGGGGGGCCTACGCTGAGGCATAGCCAACAGTCTCTAGCTTAATCGGGGTCTGAGGAGTTAAGGGCCTAGTGGGCTCCTTTTACTAAGTTAATAAGTCTATCCCCTGTCCCCAGGAAGTCTTCCTGGTACTGGGCATCCTGGGACTGGTTAGGGGGCGAGGTTGGTGTGGTTATTTCAACTCTAACTGAGTTACCCACTGGCAGGGGGGTTGGTATGAAACCGGAGGAGGATGCCGGCCTCTGCTCTGCCAGGACTTGGTTGGGACTGATTGGTTGGGAGGCCTGTTGTACTCTAAGTTGTATTTTAAAGTTAACCCCCCCCCCGATCTTCTCCTTCTATGTACCAGCGGAGTCACCAAGTATATCCCCTGATCCATTCTGGAGCCTTTTTACCACTCGGTGTAAAGGTGATGTTAAGGGGAAGGCAGAGTCCTCCAGAACAGCTGGAACAATGTCCCTTTCCCCAGCCCTTTAATATGGTGACCTTGTCCCAAGAAGATGAGGGGTTCCAGTATGCACCGCCGGTGGTCTCACAGCCCCAGGCGGCTCAAAAGTAAGAGTCATAGCTTCCACATTTACGAGACATGTGGAAGTCCCTCCCATCCTTTGGGCACATGTAAAAGTCTTGGTGACCCAGTTTATACCGTTTCTCGATGGTAGCACACCCTATAGAGGTCCGGACTCCCTGGACACCATAGCCATGCATGCTTCTATTGCCAGGGTTTGATCTTAGTTTTTCTGGCAATGTGTCTGCCTCATAGTCGGGTATGTCCCAATAGTCTGACCCTGCCACCAGTTGGCAGAAGTCTGGGGTGAGCGAGGGCCACCAGGTTCCCACGGCATGGTTCCCTGACTGAGACCACAAGGCATTTCCTGCTGGGGAGACTATCTGCCAGGTTAATTGTTTTAGGGTATGGGGGCTGGTCGACAGGGTGGGGGTAGTCAAAAGGGCAAACAAGATTGCAAATAAGTCTTATCTTTAGGGGGGTTTTGAGAGCGTTGGAGTCTCCATGCCTGGGCAGGAGATGTGGAAGCGTCCGGGTGGGCAGCCTTCACGTGAGATGCGTGGATCCAGGCGGCAATACTGTCAACTTTCAGTGGTCCCTTCCAGAGAGGCTCGAGGTTTTTGGTTTGGTGTCTCCGGACCCAGACTGAGTCTCCGATTTGGAACTGGTGAGGCACTGTTCGCGTATCAGTGGCTTCCCGGTATGCGGCTGCTAAGGGCTTCCAAACTTCCTTCTGCATGATCTGCAGGGCCTGCAGGTGTGCTTGGAGAGAGGGGGAATTAGCATAGTCCGAAATATCAGAATCAAAGAAAGTGATGGCAAGGGGTGGAGCCCCATATAGAATTTCAAAAGGGGTAAGGCCTTGAGGGCCTGGGGTGTTCCTGGCTCGATACAGAGCCAGGGGTAGGAGTTGCACCCAATCCTTTGAGCCAGTTGTATCGTGTCTGTCTGTTTGTCTCTTGTTTGCGTTTGAAGTCATCATGGGACAGACCCTAACCACCCCCTGAAGCCTAACTCTAGGACACTGGTCTGAGGTTCGAGAACGCGCCCACAACCAGGCGGTCGATGTAAAGAAAAAGAAGTGGCAGACCTTTTGCTCCTAGGAATGGCCCACTTTTAACGTGGGTTGGCCGAGGGACAGCACCTTTAACCTTGATACTATTCTGCAGGTCAAAGAGAAGATTTTTGACAAAGGATCCCATGGGCACCCAGACCAGGCCACCTGCATCGTAACCTGGGAAAACTTGGCTTACGACCCACCTCCATGGGTCGCTCCCTTTGTCTCTCCAAAACCCGCTCCTCCTCCCCCCGTCCTACCTGACCTGAGCTCTGGGGTCTATATGCACAGTGTAATTTCCAATCAATTCCCAGTATCTTGGCCACCTGCTGACTCACCTGGGAGACAAAGGCCGGCCCATTGTCTGATCCTATTACCTGAGGCATCCCATATCGGGGAAAGATTTCTTCTAATAGTTTCTTGGTGACCATCTTTGCAGTTTCATGTTTGGTGGGGTAGGCCTCTACCCATCCAGAGAAGGTGTCTATAAAAACTAAGAGATATTTGTAGCCATACATGCCAGGTTTAATTTCAGTAAAGTCTATTTCCCACTGGACTCCAGGTCTGTGTCCCCGGAGACGGACCCTGGGGGCAGTCTTGGCTCATCCTGTGTTGACTTGAGCACAAGCAGTACAAGTCTCTGTGACCTTTTGTAGGGCCTTATCTCTATTGAGGAAAAGTTTTCCCGTCTCTGCTCGATCCACCAGGACTTGCATTTTTCGGGCACTTAAATGAGTTAGTTTGTGGAAGTTATTAATTAGGTCCATTGTAGGTTGGCACAATGGTTTTTCCTTGGTGCACCCATCTGTCCCACTCTGGATCATAGTCTGCTCCTAGTTTCTGTATCAAATCTAAGTCCTCAGTACTATATTCCCAGTTTACCAGCTGGGTCCGTCCTGGTTCAGTTAAGATCGTGACGGTGAGGAGCTGGGGACCCACAGCGGACTGTTTAGCAATCTCATCTGCTAGACGATTGCCTTTTGCCTCTGCACTGTCTCCTCTTTGGTGCGCTGGGCAGTGCATGATGCTCAATTTCTTGGGGAGGAATAGGGCCTTGAGCAGGGCCAAGATCTCAGTTTTATTTTTAATCTCCTTGCCCTCCGAGGTTAGGAGTCCCCTCCTTGGGTAGATTTCCCCATGTATGTGGGCAGTGGCGAAGGCATACCGGCTATCGGTATATACGTTGAGTCTCTTACCTTCTGCCAGCTGGAGCGCCTGAGTTAGGGCAATGAGCTCTGCCCGCTGTGCCGAGGTGCCTCCCGGAAGGGCGCTGGCCCAGACTACCTGGTTTTCGGTGGTCACTGCTGCTCCTGCTTATCGTTCTCCATTCAGCAAGTAGCTACTGCCATCCGTGTACCACGTGTGGTCCGTGTCTTTTAATGGCTGATCGGACAGGTCAACCCTGGTCCCATGTGCTTCCGCAAGGATCTGCAGGCAGTCATGGGACATAGGGCCCTCTGGCAGCGGCAGCAGAGTTGCAGGACTAAGGGCGACTGCTGGGCCGAAGCGAATCCCATCAGCATCCAGGAGCAGGGACTGGTAATGGGTCATGCGGGCATTGGATAGCCAACGATCAGGAGGCTGGCAGATGATAGACTCAACCGCATGTGGTGCCAGTACAGTTGATGGCTGTCCCAGAGTCAGCTTTGTTGCGTCCTTGACGAGGATTGCAATGGCCGCCACCATTCTCAAGCAAGGGGGCCATCCGGAGGCTACTGGGTCCAATTTCTTGGACAAGTAGGCAATGGGTCGCTTCCATGGCCCAAACCTCTGGGTCAAGACCCCCTTTGCAAAGCCTTGCTTCTCATCCATGAATAGGTTGAAAGGTTTGGTTATGTCGGGCAAGTCCAAAGCCGGAGAGGAGAGTAGGGCCCGTTTGATGTTACTAAAGGCCTGTTGTTGTGCCTCTGTCCATTCAAAGGGAGCCCCTTGTTTGGTTAGGGGATACAGAGGAGCCGCCATTTCGGTGAATCCGGGGATCCACAACCTGCAGAACCCGGCGGTGCCCAAGAATTCTCTCTGCTTCCGGTGACCCCGGGGAACTGGGATCTGGGATATAGTTTTCTTGCACGCGGCCGTTAGCCAACGCTGTCCATCTTTTAATTTGTACCCCAGATAAGTCACTTCCGTCTGGCAAATTTGGGCCTTCTTGGAGGAGGCTCTGTACCCAAGATGCCCGAGGGTTTGTAGTAGGGCCCTGGTACCTTTAAGACAGTCCCGTTTGGTTGGAGCTGCCAGTAGGAGATCATCCACGTACTGGAGTAGAATCAGGGATGGGTGCTGAACCCGGAAGTCCACAAGGTCCTGATGTAAGGCTTCATCGAAGAGAGTGGGGCTGTTCTTGAATCCCTGGCGGAGCCGCGTCCAGGTCAATTGTCCTGAAATTCCTAGTTCGGGGTCCCTCCATTCAAAAGCAAACATTGGCTGGCTCTTAGGGCTTAGCCGGAGACAAAAGAAGGTGTCCTTTAGGTCTAGCACCGTATACCACAGATGGGTGGGTGGTAGGGTACTCAGAAGGTTATATGGGTTGGGCACCGTGGGGTGTATATCCTCCACCCTCTTATTAACTTCCCTAAGGTCCTGTACCGGTCGGTAGTCGCCTGTGCCAGGCTTTTTGACGGGTAGAAGTGGAGTGTTCCATGGCGACCGACAGGGAGTTAAGATCCCTTGGTCCAAGAGTCTTTTGATGTGCGGCTTAATTCCTTGATAGGCCTCATTAGGCATGGGATACTGTTTAATCGAGATGGGTGTAGCTGTTGCCTTTAACTCAATGACTATGGGAGGTTGTTGCTTAGCTAAACCCATGGCCCGGGTTTCGGCCCAGGCCAAGGGGAAATCTTCCAGCCAAGAGTCTATCTCGGGTTTCACTGTATTCAAACAATCTGTATTCATCTTCCATTTTGAGAGTTAATACTTGGAGAGGTGCTCCATTTGGGCCTGACACTGTGGCCCCATTCCCCTCGAAATGGATCTGTGCTCTGAGTTTGGTCAGTAGGTCTCGTCCCAGTAGTGGGTATGGACAGTCGGGGACGTGGAGGAAAGAATGAGAAACCTTACCGGTAGCCAGATGTACCTTCCTTTCAGTAGTCCAACGGTATCGCCTTCCATGGTGGCCCCTTGCACCCAGGCTGTCCGTCTGCTGAGTTGGCCCGGGGAGGTGGTGAGGACCGAGTGCTGAGCTCTGGTGTCGACTAGGAAGGTGACTGGTTGCCCCCCGACTCTGAGAGTTAGCATAGGCACGGTGGGGGGCCTCCCGGCCTTGGCTCCCCTAGTCTTCATCTAAAGCCAGAAGGGAGTTTTCCAGCCGCGAACCCTTCGGTTTTCGGGGTCGCTTTGGGCATTCTCTCACCCAGTGGCCTCACTCCTTGCAATAGGCACACTGGTCCCGCTCCACCCTGGGCCTCCTCTGGTCTCCCTGCCTATCTGACCTATTGCTGTTCTGCACTAAAGTGGCCAAGAGGCGGCTTAGCTCCTTACTTCGTTTATGGTCCCTAGCTGTCTCCTTCTCTTCAGTTTCTCTGCGTATATGGTCCTCCCTCTCTTCTACAGTCTCCCTCTTATTATAGATACATTCTGCTTCCTTTAGTAGATCCTGGATGGTGTAGCCCTGTAGTCCATCCAGCCTCTGTAACTTATTCCTAATGTCAGGCACTGACTGCCATATAAATGCCATGGCCACGCCGGTAGCCTGTCCCGGTTCGTCTGGGTCATAGGGAGTGTACATGTGATAGGCTTCCTTGAGTCTCTCTAGAAAGGCAGCAGGAGGCTCCTCGGAACCCTGACTTACTTGCTTTACCTGTGCCAAATTGACGGGGCATTTACCGGTCCCTCGGAGGCCTGCTATGAGCAACTGGACATAAGGCGTAGGTGTCCCCTACCTGCATCGGTGGTAAAATCCCAGTTGGGTCTGGTCAAGGGGAAGGCGGCATCGATCTCGTTTGGTTGCTGAGTCGGCTGTCCATTCTCCCCTGGCACATTCTTCCTTGCTTCTAGAAAAACCCTCTGTTTCTCCTCTGAGGTCAGGAGAGTTTGCAAGAGCTGCTGGCAGTCATCCCAAGTAGGTTGATGGGTAATTAATATAGATTCTATTAGATTAGTCAAGGTGACAGGATCCTTGGAGAAAGGAGGGTTGTGCTATTTCCAGTTGTATAGGTCAGAGGCAGAGAACCGCCAGTATTGCAGTTGGCCGTTCCCTCCTTGTTGTAAGGGGAATGCCTGGGAGGTAATCTTTGAGGGCGGTTGGTCTCTCCGCCCCCGGAGATGGCCTGCAACTGGGGAGTTAGGAGGTGAGTAGGTGACGCCCCTCTGGTCTCCCACCAGGGGCGTCTGTTGAGCTCCTATCGGGACTGGCTGCAATGGAGGCAGGTGATAGGGAGGGGGTCATCAGAGAGCAAATCCATTAGGGGGGAGTTAGGATCCGGGGGAAGGATGGGTTTGGGAGATTGTTCCCGGGTGAGGATAGGGTACAGGGATGAGAAATAAGAGGGAGCTGGGGGAGCAGAAGGAGGAGGTGCCGTAGGAGCGGGGAGAGAAGGAGAGGGTTCTGAAGGGGCAGGGGAAAAGGAGCAGGTTTCAGAGGGACGGGGGGGGAGGAGCTGGTTCTGGAGGGGCGGGGGGAGAAGGAGCAGGTTTCGGAGAGACAAAGGGAGTGACCCATGGAGGTGGGTCATAAGCCAAGTTTTCCCAGTTACAATGCAGGTGACCTGGTCTGGGTGCCCATGGGATCCTTTGTCAAAAATCTTCTCTTTGACCTGCAGAATAGTATCAAGGTTAAAGGTGCTGTCCCTCGGCCAACCCACGTTAAAGTGGGCCATTCCTAGGAGCAAAAGGTCTGCCACTTCTTTTTCTTTACATCGACCGCCTGGTTGTGGGCGCGTTCTCGAACCTCAGACCAGTGTCCTAGAGTTAGGCTTCAGGGGGTGGTTAGGGTCTGTCTCATGACGACTTCAAACGCAAACAAGAGACAAACAGACAGACACAATACAACAAGACAGCCGGCGACCAGACGCTCTGCACGGTACCGAAAACAAAAATTCAGACGGAGACTCAACAACCAGAGGCCCTTGATTCTCCGATAGAGGGGCGTACACGCCACGGGCTCCGAAAAGGCAAGCCCCTACCTCTATGTCCCCTGAAACATCTTCCATGGTGGCGGGGGAGAAGTCCCGAGCTCGTCAGCTCCTTCTCAAGCCGCCCAGATACCGAGTGACCGGGATCCGAGTCATACAGAAAACAAAACAGACACAGTTACCAACAGGGAACACTGATGCTGGCCAGCTTACCTCCTGGTGGGCTTCTGGTGGAGTTGGGCAGAGGCCTTCTATCTATCGGTGGGACCTCCAATGAAAGACCCCCCCCACTGGGAATCTTCCTGGCAGGAGACCCTCGCCCAAAAATCGAGACAGAGCCATTGGATGCAACAACAAGAGAGTTCTTTATTGCTCACGCAGGCGCCTGCAGATGCTGAAGCACTTCAGGAGGCTGAGCATACTGGGCTGGATTTAGTACAGCTTATATAGAAGAGGCTTTATTTGCATATGAAGTCTTGAGGACCTTGTAAGAGCAGCTCTCAATCAGGCCAGGCAGGCTTGATATGCAAAATGAGGTAGAAGGTGAGAGCACCTCTGATAGGGTACTCGTCTTGGTGATGTCACAGCTTTTGAATTTCACGCTCTTAGAAAGGGCGTGGTTTACGTGAGTGTGGCGGGGGTCTTTCATTCCCCCATTTCTTTTTATCCTTAAGTAAAATCCTTTACTTAACTGTTGTGAGGGTTCTCTGTCTCCTGTTGCTTTAGAACCTGATATTGATGAGTTAGGACTAAAGTCTGGATGACTGACAGCCTTTTCTTGATAAACTGAACCAGCCGGTTAAGGATACAGGCTTTTGAATTTCACACTCTTAGAAAGGGCACAGTTTGCATGTGTGTGGCGGGGGTCTTTCAGTGGTAGCTGGATCCAAGTCATAACTCCCTAAAGCCATACCAAAATAAAGTCTGGGAAGTTGTCAACATTGTAGTGAAGTGACCAGCCCTCCCATTTTAGCAGCCATGACAGCTATCATGTGCTCACATGGAAAGGAACCAATTAGAAGTTAGTTGGCGGGGCTGTGCTTTATGGCTTTGTGTGGCCTTAGGGACAGTGCACAACAGTGACATGCAGAGCTAGCAACCACCCTGGGAGGACTTATGAGCCATAACAGCTGGTTGACCAATCAACACAGGGCAGGCCATCCAAGCCTGGAAGCACACCAATCCTGAGACTGTTGCATACCCCTAGACACTGCCCTTTAAGATTCCTGCATGGCAGTTTCTCGGGGTCTTTCTCCAGCCATTCGCTGCAGTGAATGGATGAAAGGCCTGAGCTAATGGGGTTAGCTCATTAAACAACTACAATATAAAAGAATCTTTGCTTTTGCATCAAAACGGGTGATTTAGGGGTTCAGAACTTGGACACAACAATAGAAGCGTGAACAGCCTTTTCTCTTTCCAGAGAACTGGGTAGATAGAGATAGGACAGAAATGTTTCCAACACAATGAGAAGCATTTTTAAGTCTATATTTAGAAAACAAAACAATCAAAGAAAATTTAAAATTTTGAGCCTTTGACTATGATAATTCTAATTATTTTTTTAAAAAGCTTTACCAGCCAGTGCTCATAACTGTTATCAAGGTTAGATTAATAACTTACCAGAACTCCAATGATTAATATGTTAATTTTGAAACTTTGCCCTCATATTTGTCATCTTTGTCTCATTTTTGGTAAAACTTCTATCACTTCTTTGATCTCCACTTGTGTCTTTGCGTTCTGGAAACATCCAGCCATCTTGATCTTAAACAGTTGGCTTTCCTTTCCATCTGGAAAGGAGTCATTTACCATGAGACATAGGTGCTTGGCTGTTGCCAGCAGTCATTGGAAAGGCTAGTCTCTTTGAAAATTTTCATCAGAGCATAAAAGGGACAGTAAAAAGCAATGTTTAAGTCAGTGACAATAGCAGGGTAGTTTTGAGTTTACTTTTTATAATTGAAACCTGTCTTGTTAACTCTAGGAAAAAGCAAGGCCTGACTTTAACACTTAAAACCAATTTAGGCTGAGAGGTAATTGAAGTTCATTTTTCAAGCTGTTTTATTTAAGAGACTCGGGTAATTTAAACTTTCTTTTAAAGCTCTCAAATTTGTATCATCAGCAAGGAGCATGTACATCTTTTGCACTCAGAGTTATTGTAAAGCCATATTGTTTTTAGGTGAATGCACTCTCTAGCTATGAAAGGACTGACCAGGCAGATACAGCATTGATGGAGGAGTTGGCCAGTTCTGCCTGCTGCAGTAGCAGGAGGTGGCAGGGCTGCTAAATTGTAAGGGGAAGATAGGGCTTGCAGTTGGATGGAATTCAAAGTTGGTAGGAGTAAGCCTGGAGGAGACAAGAGGAGAATAGAGGATGTGGAGTGAGGGCATTGGCTGACTTTAGCAGTCCTGTTAGTAGAAGCATTTTGCAAAGCTATAGCATTAGTTGAGCATGGTGGTAAAGGGGCACACTCTATAATCTGATCAGAGGAGACCATGGAAAAGCCTATTTGGCAGGAGCCAGTGCAGCTGAGAGAAGAGCTTCCTTCTGTGAACTGAATATAGTCTGGCTGTAACAGAGGGGAAATATAAAATAGTGGACTTTGTAGGTAAGGGCTGTTTCAAGTGATTCTATGGGGGAATGGGTGACAGTAATGGTCTTGGGAAAGAGTATGGCAGGGTTGAGAGGAGGGCAAGAATTAAGTGAGGTTCAGGATTTTGTAGGATGTTGGGGACTGCTAGAACCTTGAACAAAATGGAGTCTGTCAACCATTTCTTGGTCTTCTGCCTACATGACTGCGAGCACACATGCCCTTGAGACAAAGGAAAAGGCTAACCATAAAAGTTAAATTTACACAGGGTAGCCCACCCGCCTAGCCAGGGGGAAGTAACCCTTATAGAGCAATTGTCTTTGTTAACAAAAGGTTAAAGTGTTCCTTTGAATACTTCCTACCCCTCCCTAATTCCTGCACCTGACTTACGCTGACAAGCATTTGTGGAATGCGACTGATGACTGATGGAAAATTATAGCTTTGTCTTTACCTTATTTTGTTGGGGAAGGCCTGTGTATATGTCAATAAATTACTGCTGGCCAATAGGAATCTAGATAGGTGGGGCTAGGAGTCCAGGAGGATTCTGGGAAGGAGAAACACAGGAGAGTTCGAGATGTAACCGCCATGGTGTAGGAAGCCTGGAACTATTCTCCGGTAAGAGAAATACTTAGATTAACCATTATGGGGTAATTACTTAAGTCAGAGCTAGCCAGTAAGAAACAAACAAGGCCAACAGCTTCATAATTAATACAGCGTCTTGTGTGTTATTTGGGGACTACAATGCGGCAGAGCCCAGGCGACTTGCGGGTGATAAACCAAAGCGGCTAGCAAAGAAAAAGCTTCCCTTTAACAAAATGGTTGTCAGGAGCGGGATTGAATTTCCATGCAAAATAACAAAAGATTTAAAGGAATTTTAGAAACAGAAGAACGGAGAGAAGCACAGATTTTTGGTAGCAGCATTTTTCTCAGGTGTGCTCTGTTTTGCTAGCGACAAGCCGAGATTCACGCGGCTTGCTTACGGGAGTCTTCCTGACTTGGCATAAAAAAAAAAAGCCAGCAAGGTTGTTTTAAGAGACTCTGCTAACGATTAAAAAGGGTATACATACAGCTGGAAGTGGCAGTTTTTGCTGGATGTCAGCATGGACTGAGGCGGTAAGCTGAAATCACGCTTACGCCTGCCATCTTGGAAACGGCAGTTTAAAACAGCCGCGGTTTTACAGATAAGACATGTGGCCAGAAAAACGTAAAGATTTACTGTAAAGTCAGACTTGGATGAACAAAACCTCTAAAAGTTTACAGTGTGTTTAAAAATATATGTGAGATTGAGAGAGAAAATGAAACAGCAAAGTGGTATATAAATACAAAAGCCGGCATTGTGGTGGCGCACGCCGGTAAGATTTACTCCAGAGGCAGAGGCAGGCAGATTTCCAAAGAGAAACCCTGTCTCAGAGAAAAATAAATAAAAGTAAAATAAATAAAGTAATAATAGATAAATAAATAAGCCATGTAAAGATGGAAAATACACAGAGAGTCTGGATACTGTATGCTATTGTGTTTTTCAGTTTTTTGATTGCTAAGGAAGGAACAGCTACTAAAGTACACTTGATCATAAATGCTGCTGAATTAATCCAACTTCTACCTTTTAAAAATGCCTTGACTTCAAAATTTAAGTATAAGGATATGTTACTCGGAAAAGGAGTTTTAGTTTATATTTCCACAGAAAATGAAAAGCTGAGGATTCCTTCCAGGCTTCTGTGGTTTGATGAACCAAGACCCCCGGAAGCAGTGGACCAAGTGTTCCAACAACTGAAATAGCTAAGATGATGGAGCTTTACAGACCACGAAAATAAGGACTTATACAGGTTTCTGAGTTTTGTCATGATCCCCATGGTATAAGCAGTGCCCCCTTCCAGCATGAAGCAGTTTGGAATGAGCGACGTCCTAATTCCCATCTTGTTTATAAATCTTTGTTTTCATTTAAATGGGATTGTTTATACTTGGCTAATGATCACAGCCGATCTCTTGTTAATGGAAAAAAGGGGAATTATGGTATGGGTATGGATTTTCATTTATTGATACAAATTCAAGGTCAATTTTGTGACATGTATACTTCTCCTCTTGATTAAGTATTGTACGTATACTGATCTTTTAAAAAGTAATGCATAATTAAATACAGGCTATAGATAGTTACTTATAAGAATCAGATCTTATTGTTAGGTAAGTTAGGTTTTCTAGATATATAGAGATGTATTTGAGATAGATATACAGTCCTCAAACCTTTCAAAGACCTTCAGAAAATGGCATTTAAAATGTTTTAGGGTTTTTCTTGACAATGAGAAATGTCTGCTCCTGGCAGCACCAATTACATCTGAGAGGAAGATGGGCATTGAAGAAACTCGTTATGAAGTTTGCTTTCAACATGGCAAGATTAGCCATTTGGGCAAGAAACTGCTCTTGCCTGTACTGCTTGACTGTTGTTGTATAATCTGGACATGCAGGACCCACAGGAAAGTGACTGCTGAACTCAGTCTTACAG